CTGCTGTTTTGTCCTCGCGTTTCTAATCTGTCTAAGTGGACTGCTCGCTAGAGGAAGATGAAATTAAATGTTCAAATCGGAAGCAGTATATTACCGAAACAAATGACGTGTAGTATATATGTTTAAAGAAATCAATCTTTCTATTGATTCTTAATACTGATTTTACTTTAGGTATGTTATTGTATGTAATGCAGTGTAAGTTCTCAAAAACATCTGTTTGCTCCTTGCTTTATTTGGTTTCTAATGCTTGTTTTCCTTTACTAATTTATTCTCCCTTGCTTTTTTGTTTTTCTTCTTTCTGCAGCCGAAGAATGCTTTGCTGATTCTGACCTGAACTTTCTTATTCCCATCGCAGTGGGCATGGCGCTTGGCTTCCTTATCATTCTTGTCTTTATATCTTATATCATTGGAAGAAGAAAAAGTCGTACTGGCTATCAGTCTGTATAATCTCTTAATTCCGTCTCTGTTGCAACCTTCCCTGCTCTTCTCCTTTTCCCAGACTCCCTGATCTGCCCCTTTAAAAAGAAGAAAAACAAACGAATTCATAGTTTCTTTATTTAAAAAAAAATTTTAAAAAGCCCGCTTCATGACAGAATAACGTGCCATGAGTCTGAAGATGAGTTGCAGAATTACTTAAAGCTACTGTGTGATTTTGGAGAAAGTGAGCGTTCTGAGGACCATAGAATTGAGTAGGGTTGATGCGTGTCCACGTGAGAAATATGATTATTTTGAGTAAAGAAGACACCTGTGAAACTTCATTTCTGTTGTTTAATCTTTTTATACAAGAAAATTTCTAGTTGCGTACAGCTTATCTCAGATAATGCTAAAGCTAAAACCGTAATTAAAGGTGTGAATGCGATGTCGAAAGGGACTGTACATGCTGTGGGAAAATGAATACCAAGCTCTTAACAGACTTCTCTTGGGAACTTGGCATATGGCTGTTGTCTTTTTTCCTTAGCAGCTTGTTCTTGTGAATCAGTCTGAATTTCCTGTTCCTTCTGAATGTAAAGGTAGTACCTGATCTCACTAATAAACTGACATAATATGAGAAGAACATCTGATTCTTCTAGTAAATTAATTTGTTCAACATCAGTATGGAGAAGTTGACGGCTAATGTATGTTAAATAGCTTTGCACTGGCATGATGTCTTTAATGTCTTTATTCACTAAGATAAGGCTCAGTCCTGGAGAACTTTAACTACTCAGGAAAGCCAACAGTCTGCTAAAGGAAATGTGTCCTGTGCTGTTTTGTTTGACTGTGTTTTCCTTTTTGTTCTGAGCTCAATTGTGAAATGAGGCCGGGAGGCTGGAATTTCACTGGCTGTACTTTGTCTCAGCTTTGATTCTGCGCACATAAAAGAAATACGCAGCGTTTCAGCACTGGTCCGCGTGAGGCTCAAGAGAGTATTTTGAGAGCTCTCAACGACTGACTAAGAACACAGATTGTTCAGAGATTCCTGCAGTTCCTTTAGATGGCTTTCATGGGTTACCAGGGGATCACTGAAAAGCTGTGATCTAGGAATGCAAGTGAAGATACAGAAACAGTCTGTTTTGATAGGATTCATCTGCTTTTAACCTCCTAATTATTGCTCTCTCGAAAATCTTGAATAGTGTAAGAGCACAAAATTTCTAGTATGAGAAATGTTGATCATAAAGCAGAAACTAATATATATATATGTATGTATGTATATATATATATAGTAAAGAAAGTGACTTCCAAAGGAATAAGAGTATCTGACTTGTTTGAAGATGCTCTCTTTGTTATTAACACCACACCTTTTGCAATTCTATGTTCCATACCTAAACTGTACCAAAATAGAAACTAGTCATTTGTGGTTGTGTTCTGCTTCATTCCCATCAGGTTCATGTTGATGGGATGAAAGAAGCCTCTTGCTCTTTCAGCCTCTTTGGTCCATCTTGGTAAAAGCCTTTTGCAGCTAGTGAGCCCTGATTCCCAGCTGTGGGACAGCTGCAGAGCTGCCACGTCTGCAGAGAGCTACTGACGGCACACAAAGTTTCTGTCCTCTGCAGCAAGTGTTTACAAAAGCCACTTCAAAATTTAATCTCTTTGTGCATTGAGCCTGTATCTACGTTGTAGGAAAAGCACCTTCAGTAATTCACATGCACAGGGGAGACAGTCAACGCTGATGTTTAAGTAACTCTCAATAGCTATATATTCAGGGAAGGGAGATTTCTAAAGAGTTAGTTTTGATGTTTGATAAATACCTGTACGTTCAATTATTCTTGTCCTCGCTGTGACCAAAGAAAAGCTTTACCTGAATCTGACCAAACTGATTTTTGTACCGCAAATGGGCTCTTGAACCAAGTTGTCTTTTTTTAAGAATGTGATTTGACGCTGCTGAGTTGGACTGTGTGCTTTGGGTTTGGTTGTCTTGGTCTTTTGTGCTGTACCTTTGCTCTCGCAATACTTGATTTCCCTGCCGCAGTGGTAAAGGGCGAGTTATTTGGAGACCGGCAGTTTCTGAGTAACACCTGCTTGTCAGAGTGTGTTGCTTCTCTGCTGCCAGCAGATGGATTCCATCTACGGTTTCATGCTCGGATTGCAAATCAAAGTATTTTGCATCACTTCTGCTAGGTTATTTTAGTAAAATATGGCAATTTCCTAGATGCACATATATATATATATATTTTTATATGTACATATAAAGTATTATTTTGGGCTTCAATAGAAGTCAAAAATTGAGCCAGCACTTCAAGGTTGGCGTAGCATGAAGAGTGGTATATACAATTCTCCAAATCTTGAAATGACTGTACAAATATGCTGAAAGCAGAATATGTGTATGGACAATAAAGTTAACTACGGTGTTTATAAAACTTTGTTATAGTGTAAGTAGACACGCATGCCATTTCTGAGAGCTTTTCCAACGGGATTGTCAGCATGCCTGCATCTGGATGTTGGTGGGGAAGCAGAAACTTTTGCTTTTAAGCTGTTCACGCATTTACATCCCAATTCGTTGATTGTTGTTGATTGGATGAAAGCATGGGTCAGCGTCTGCTAAAGGACCAGCTGCTTCATGAATCCTTCCAATAGGCAGGTAGGGAATAGATATAAATAGTGTTTTGTCCTGTTGCTAGCTGGCGAGCTGTTAATTTCATGGCCTGAAGCACAAAGGGTTTGGTTTCCTTTCAGGATCCTACAGAAATATAAATGTTTTAAAAGACTTAAAGCAATTCGCAGGTGGGGAAGCATTTGTGGGTTTAACTTATTTCTGATGTCAAAGGAAGAGCCGCTGCCACGGCAGCATCTTCCTCGGCAGACGCTGGTGTCTGTTGATCGGAACGTGCCCTTTCAGGTAAGTCCTGCAGGCAGAATCATTGTGTTGCCCTCGCTCGATCGGTGTCATATGAATAACCACATCTGAGCAAAATTAGTTCCTAAACTACCTCTGGTTCAGGTTTTTAACAGTTCTTAATAAATAGTTCTTGCCCGATGGTTGGTTGTGATACTTGGCGTATAGTGAGTCTTATCGTACTGCACTTCTGAACTCTTTGGCCCTAGAAAGTTAATCAAGTGCTCAAAATTCAAGGATCACATTACACGCTGCTTTGAAATACAGTCCCGAACTGGCCAGCACCGGGAGCTGAAGTCACAAACTGTCTCTCTTACACCAGTGTTTTAAGAATGGTACCATAGAGTTAATTTTACTGTAGTTGCTTTATTTTTAATACAAAAAATTACTTCTTAGAGACTTATATAGATCAGGAAATGATGGCAGATGAAGTACCTGGACTAGGATGTAGGACAAACATACCATAATGCTCTTGTTCCGTCAGTAATTTTAGTAAGTGTGCTTTCCAACTAGTACACTATCCTAAGGTGTCCTGTCCTGCTGTGTTCTCCTAGCTGGTAACGTGCAGAGCGTAGTTCATCTCTGTCAAATGCAAAGGCTGGACGCTCGGGGGCCCGGGAGGGCCAGGCTGCCTGCGCAGCAGGGGTTGCTCAGGTTGGCAGCACGCCGCGCTGACGAGGGCGAGTGTGCTTCGTCGGTCTTTGAGGATGATAAATTGATGACTTCACTAAGACCAGCATTGACCCCTTTGTGATGAAACGACGAAGCGTTTCCCTGCAGTTTTCTGTAGCTGTGACCTCCCTGGGACAGGGAAGAACAGGCCTGAAATATTTGGGGGGGGGTGGCCCCCCCGGGGGGGGGAGAGAAGGGGTGGGAAAGTTTGGGGGGGGGGGGGGTCTAACACGTTTCTCTGGCACTTCTGTGCCTGAACAGGGGAAGGAGGCACCGTCAGCCCGCGAACCATGACGGGGAGGGGAGGGCTCCTTCCACTCATCCCTGCCTGATGGACTGGGTGAGGGTTCCCGGGGCAGAGAGAAGTACTGGAGTGAGGAGGAGGAGGGAGAAACACATTAATCTTCCCACTTCAGAAAGGAACAGTTGGAAAGGTTCAAGGGCAAATGATTTTCTACGTGGCCTTTGCTCCAACAGCTCGGGTGTGCTGAACAAGCTGTGTAAAATGCTGCAGTCAAGATGCTCCTGGTGCTGAAGATCCTTTTTAACTGTGTCATTGCAGGCATAGTCCAGAATTTTTGCTGCTTATTTTTTTAACAAGAACAGTGCTAATAAATTACCCTCTTGATAGTTTTTGCCTGAGAAATGCACATAAAACTATGGTAAAGATTAAAATTTAAAGCCAGGAAAAACGCATTCCACAGGGCTCACTTGTAAAAGACCTTATGAAAATAGTGTTCAGATACCAGAGGTTTTTTTAATCAAAACTGAAATGCTTTTGCAGGTTCTCTGCCCAGAAGATAACTTTTAATTTTTACTAACAATGATTTGCATCAGATGATGAAAAATGTGGTTCCACACTCCATTGCATCTCATTTGTTTCCTAACTATGAACAAAAATAAATTAACAAAAATCTCCATGTGCCTGTTTTTCCTAGCAGAAAAAATGCTAGCTTTTTGCTTTAAAAAGGAAAAAGCCTCTGATTGACTTAACCTAAGTGCCCAGTGTTTGCGGTGGCTACTTCCCGATGCTGAGCGTGAAGATGATTCGGCCCAGGAAGCGGTCGCTGTTAACGTTGTTGATGATACCTTTCCCATTCAGACTGCACTGAATAGGGACCAAATAATTCTTCTTCACATCTGTAAAGTGCATAGCCACCAGTGGGGACGTATAGTTGACCTGAAAAGAAGGGAGATTTAGGTGTAATTTTTGGGGGAGCAGAAAAGCCAGCAGTGCTTTCATGTTCAGTAAAAATCATTAGTAATTGGTTCACAGTTCCCAAGGCATCCGAGTGCATTTGCCTGATGTCCATCATAGTCCCTTGGGATGCTGAAGCTGAGCCTGCCTGTGCCTCAGAGGGACAGGGTCACATCGGAGCTTTGCACTGCACCGTGCCTCCTGGGTTGATTAGCCAGGACAAGTAACACCAGGGATGGGACTCTCAAATATTTTCTGCTGTTCTAAAAACCAACCTTTGGCTTGTAATAAGAAATCCGTGGTGTTCCCCAGGTCTGTGTGCTCAAAGGACACGCAGACCTGGCGTCTGGGGCTGTTACTCATCCTCAGCCAGCAGCAGCCTAGTGCCTGCCTCATCTTCCATTTCAGCTTTGGTTGTGGAGGTGCGTTACCGCCTAACGCTGTACAGCCCAGCCCAGATCAAAGCAGTGCTGGCCAGCGTGTTCAGAAATAGCCACCCGTGTTGGAGTGCTCTGTTTTGAGCCACCCAGCCTGAAGTGGTTTTGTCATAGCTTTGACAGAAGCCCCATCCTTTTCCCCTTGTGTCACCTAACCCCTGACTTCCCTAACGCCCTGGGAAAATGCTGGTGTTGAGACCTTCTCTGGGAGTTAGCAAAGCCAGTCTTAGCCTCCAGATGATAAATGTAATCATTCCCATTGCTGGCAAGGGGGAACCGGAGTCCCCAAGGATTTCCCGCAGTTTGCCGGAGACAGAAATAGAGCACTGTAATCCCAGTGCCCACGGCCTCCCTCCTGCCTGCATCTGCCCAAAATAGCCAGCAAGCACATCTGTACTCTGTGCAGCAGCTCCTGCCCTCTCCTTCCGAAGGAGACATAACAAAGATGCCAGAGTCCGTCCTTACGTGAGTGATCTTGCCGTAGTAGGGATAATACATGAGATCAAACGTCCCGTTTCCAGGGTAGAAGTCCACTGATCCGAGATCGCTCTCATTGCCTTTCTGTGATTGGAAAAAAAATAAAGGTACACACATAGCACGTGGGACACAAAATACAGTCCCTTCAGAGTAAGGTGAAGGAGCTTTAATACAGACATCTCTTGCAAATCCACATCAGGGCTCAGCTGCACCTGCCTGCCTGCACGCAGCGTGTTTGCTGCGAGAGCCAGCTGCTGCTGCAGCGAGCCGGAGCATAACTCTGCTATGAAGGCACCAGCGAGGGTTACAGAATTTGCTGCCTGTCGATCCATCCCTGTGCTTGCCTACCACTTTATTGCTCCCTAAGGGTATGATCCAGCTGCTACCTGGGGTGGTGGGACCTCTTCATTCACCTTATTGCTGTTGGCTTGCGGGGTGCTCCCCAGGACCGAGGGTCCTGCGGAGCGGGTGAGGATGGATGTGAGCAGCTCCTGCCTTTTCCCCGCCAGCCCCAGGCTCTAGCTAGCACCCCGGCACCCAGCCCTGCGGGCCTGCCCTCAGGGGCTGAGCAGAGCGCTGCCAGTGAGGCTGGCAGGAGCCGGCAGCACTCAGAGGGTGAGGGCCAGGGTGGGAAGCAGGAGACTGGTAGCCTCTGTCCTCAGCAGACCAGCACCCACTTGCACCCAGAGGCATCAGCAGCACGGGATCCTGTGAGTGTTTGGGGCTAAAATGAGGGCAGATATTGGTGAGGTCCATCAGAGGGAGGCATTTGGCCTTCTACGCACCACACTGCCGAGCACGAATGAAAGCAGTACCTGCACTTTGCAGTCCACGCTCACGGGGACCCCAGCACCAGGGCGGTAGCCTATGATCTGCAAAAAAAAAAGACATCCATCCTTGTATGAAATGCAGTGCCAAGCGTGTGCTGCCTCCCTTCTCCAGGGCTTAAGCTCTTCTACGTGCCAGTCACGTTGCTCAGGACCGGAGTTATGAGCCCCTAGAAGCGGGGTCTGCCACGCCGTGCAGTGCAGCTTGCCCGTGCCTGAGAGCGGAGGCAGAGCAGAGCATCCCGAGAGCCCAGGCTCCCTGGAGCAATGCAGCCACTTCCCCACACAGCTCACACCACCCCCCACCCCCCCGTTATTTCCCCAGCAGCGTGCATTGAGCCGCCATGTGATGAGAAGATTTCAAATAAACTCAAGTCTATGAAAATTCCCATTATAAAGAGAGTGGGGTCTGAGCTGTAGCCCTAAAGCTCAGTTCCTCCCACACAGGGGCCTGGCACAAGACCCCCCAAGCACTCAGGCCTCTGCAAATCAAATCGAGCAAGTTTTGTTGTGTCTCTTTTTCATGTTTTCTAGTGGGTATGAGCCAGCAGGTTTTGGGATTCTAGTTCCCTTTTTCCCTGGGCCTGAGAAGTGGAGGAGTTTCAGTCCCTGCATGGTCTTTATCACCCTGGGGTCACTGAAGGAAGCAATTAGGATGACTGGCTTTCTCTGTACCCGGTTCATCTTCAGCAGG